GTGCCTATGTACAAAAATGAAGTTATAAGCAGGTAACTAAATTTAAAAAAAATGTTTTGTTTTATTTTCAACAACTCAAAATATTTTTACAAAAAAACCCTGTACATACAACAAAATTTTAACTTCCTATCAACCAAGAGATACAGTATCATTTTTGGAACTTCTAAATCAGTCTGAATCTGATTTTTTCTCACAGCAATTAAAGGAAATTAAAGTAGACCAAAAGAAAGGAACACAATGAAAGATTTGTCAGAGGCAAACAGCAATTTTTCTTGCTTTGTTTTGTACCAATCACTATGAAGAAAAAAAAATTCATGCACTTTCGTTGAATTTAAGTGAAATGGTGCTGAAGTCACTTTGAAGCATTTAAAATAAGCATAGCATTAAAATAAGGGCTTTGAGGAAAGCTCCTAAAGAACCCTAGGTTTTTAAGGCTAGGAAAAAATATTTAAAATATTTAATCAAATTTACAAATTGGCTTATTCATATTTGACAATTAATCCTTTTGTGGCTAGTCTGTGCAATTTAGTGAACAATAAACTCTTTCTTTCTTGTCTTCTCTACATGCGTGTAGCATTTATCTGTGGAGACATACCCGAGCCACTGAACAATTATACTTCAAAGACCCTGGCTCTGCAAGAGAAAAAGAGAATTACTTTAAAACTTGCACCTTGTCTCTGGGCCCTATTATCACAACAAGGTTTTGACTACTGGGTAAGGTGAAACTTCCCACTATTGTCAGTTTGGTGTGTGATAAGTATGATCTATTTACTCATAAATCACCTCATCCAGAATCAGTGTGAGCATTTAACTAAAACAAATGTCATCACAGTACAAACTACTGTTAAGGAATATAAATTCCTTCCTGAGGTTAAGAAACAAATTATTTTAAGGAATATAAATTCCTTCCTGAGGTTAAGAAACAAATTATTTCACTTTTGGCTCTTTCCTCTTTCTAGGAGACAATTACCACTTTGAAGTACAACAATAAACATGAGAATTTATGTAATGTAGAAGAATGGGCACTGGGCTAGAAGACATTAGACCTTAGTTCTGGACCCAAGTTCTATTACTTAATTTCTCAGATTCTCTCTAAAATGGACATAATACCACAAACAATCAAATAAAAGTATATATGTGTGTGTGTGTGTATGTATATACTTTTTTATATGTAAAGTCCTCCAAAATAAAAAGCACTGTGATAATGTAACATATATAGTAAGCTTTGATGTGCATACGTACTGTGCATAAATAATATGAGTATACTAGAATTTTCTTAAACATTATTC